AGGTTTATTTGGTAGTCTGGTCCTAGCCTCATCACTACTTCGCCGAGGTTAGGCTAGGCACTTACCAGCACATGGGGTCGGTTGTGTTGATACTACACTCTGTACTGTGTGCAAATCCCGAAGCAACAACATTCGGACCTTAGCTTAGGTGGCTGCCTTCAGTCCAGTTAGAGATTCCGAGGTAGTCCTACAGGCATCCGCAAGCCCTAGCGTCTCCCTTTATCCCTTCATCTTGTTTCATATACTTATTTCAGAAACAGTGTATTAGCTATCTTTCAGACCTTGTTTGTAGTAATTCTAAACTGTCTGTGAAGCGTGACACCCGTTCTGGGTAGAATTTGCTTAAGATGTTGTATTGTATATTTATTCAAATGTTATATCGTTTTCTTCTTCTTGCTTTAAATTTCCGTTATTTATAACTGTTGATTCACACTTGTTAAAGAAAATAAAAATGGGAAAAAGGTAATTAGTGTAAGTGGTCGGCTTGCCTAGCTTTCACTAGTAGGCACCATGATGACTCCCGAGGGTGGGAAATCCGAGTCGTGACAACTGTCATCATTGAATCATAGATGTAACAATCTTCTTTTTTATGATGACAATCAAGAGAGAGAAAACAAAGTGTACTTCCCGTTCATAGTTTGAGATGCCTGCTTCACCTAAGTTGTTACTTAAATTTGTACAGCACTACTCCCCCTGAGTTGTCGCTTTGGTTTACTCTTCAGATTCTTCTCCCCCTTTGACATCAATCAAAAAGGAAAGAAAATGCAGACAAAACATACACAATAGAGTAGATAATAGACAGATAATAAACAAACTAGTGAGGTTAGCAGAGTTTATGCCTTCCACAGAGGCATAGAGTGATGGTTCTTATAGACCAATGCAAAACAAATAAGTCACAAAATAGAAACAAGCAAAAAATATTATTTTTAACACACATGCACTGCCTTAGTTTCTCCCCAGTAAGTACTTCAGGGTATTGATCACTTTGGTGCAGAAGGAGTCATAAGAGGTTTCAACTTCTTTGGTAATTTTGTCCATCTTTTCTGTCATGGAGTTGAATGCCTTGATACTTTGCCTCTTCGTGGCTCCCATATTCATCCTGAGCTTAGGCACATCTGTACCTGTTTCCTTGGTGACTTCGCTAATTTTGTCCACCTGTTCTTTCATTGTAATGAGAGGGATTTTTTACCCATCTAGATTTTGCTAAATCTCATATAGTTGGTAGTGGCAGTCCACTGTGTCTCTGTTGGTTCAGTGGGTGCTTCAACCTATACTGGAACACTTTCAACTTTGGCATGCCTGATCCATCTGTTGTCACTTAAGGTGTAACCTCTCATAGCAAATGCAGTCTTATCATAGTTACTGGCAGTATGCTTGGGTGAGAAAGGTGCCAAATCAACCTCATAACTTCAAGAATGTGTGAGATGAGCAAACCATAGGGTAGATAAGCAGCAAAAGAGGATATATCCCTGATACTTTCAAACATATACTGACGAATCCACACAACACGGTCAAGTCTTTTATTATTCACAAGACAGTGAAGAACAAAAATATCTCTAGTAGTCAAAGTACTGAGGGACCCAGTTCTAGGAAGTAAGGTGGTGGCTATCATGTGGGCTAAAACTCCGCGTTAAAACTTGAGATTTTTAAGACCAATGCCAGGGGGGTTATCCGACAGGAAAGCTTTTGCCTCCTCTAAGGAAACTTCAAAATCTTTTGGCCAGGAATTTTGCACAAAAATATCATACCCATGAAACTTAGGAGAAAATATTTTCTCAAATTGATAAGAGTTAAGAACAATTCGAGTGCCTAAAACCATAGATTTCAAGTCATCTTTGTCATTAACAAATAGATTTGCATAAAACATTCTCATAGGCTCTTCATACACAGAATTTCCAATAGTATCAAACACAGAAGAGAGACGTTGAAAGTCAAGAATAGCAATTACATGACAGTGCAGATTTTTCATAAGAGAAAGACTTACAAAGCGTCCATAAGCCATAGATTTTGACTTATAGGACTCAAACCTTGATTTCTCACTTGGTCCATAGAAGTTTAGTTTGTCCTCTGGCCCAAAATCTATGCTTTCCACTTTCTCTTTCTTGCATGCATGCTTTTTGGGGGTTTGCTCCATAGGCCTTTTTATTGCCTTTTCTAGATAATAGGTAGATCGTCTGATGATTCACTGCTTTCATTGTTAGTTTTAAGAAAGTCTGATTCGAGGGATGAATCCAGGTCTACGGTTTCTTCGGGGATGTGGGTTTTCTGAAATCGTCTGCTTCGTATGGTGATAGTGGAAGATGAGAGGTTTCTTTTTTCCATGGTACGGAAATTTTATGAGAGGTGATGAAGAATGAGAGGGAGAAGAGGGTCCTTATCTAGGTGTTTGGAAGGTTGGAGGGTTGCTTCGGTTAAGAAAAAGCCAAGTTTAGAAGGAAGTGACACTTCTGAAGAGTTGTTTCGACTGCACCGATGGAAGTGTAATAATTACACTCACATCAAAATTAATACACTTAAACAATTGAGCAAACTTAAGTAAGGAAGTAAAATATATTATACAGATACGAAAGATTTTTTACAAAAATAGGCACAATGCCAATCTTTTTATGTAGTAAAAAAAATCTTTCTTCTAAAAGAGGTTTTGTAAAAATATCAGCAAGTTGAGACTCAATATTAATGAATTCTAATACAATATCACCTTTTGCAACATGATCACGGATAAAGTGATGCTTAATTTCTATATACTTTTCCCTAGAGTGATGCCCATAAATATTTGACAAATATATATCATTAGTATTATCACAAAATATAGGAATTGAGGTAAGAGATAAATCATAATTGAGATGTTGATGCATGATCCAAAGAACTTGTGTACATCAACTTTCAACAGCTAAATATTCTGATTCAGTAGTTGACAGAGTAACACAATTTTTTTCTTGCTATGCCAGGAAATTAAGGCATTTACCAGTTGTTGGCAAGTGCCACTAGTGCTTTTCCTGTCAATCTTATCACCTGCAAAATCTGCATCTGAAAAAACTTTTAACGCAAAATTGCTAGAGTGAGCATATCGTAAACCTAATTCAGAGGTTCCAATAAGATATATAATAATGTGTTTAAATGCAGTAAGATGAGATTCTTTGGGAGCCGATTGAAACCTTGCACATTTACACACACTGAACATTATATATGGTCAACTAGCAGTAAGATATAATAAAGATCCAATCATACCTCTATACATCATTTCATCCACACTTTTTCCATTATTATCTTCTTCAAGCGTAGTTGTTGGATTCATTGGAGTTCCAATGGACTTTGCATTCTCGATACCAAACTTCTTTATAAATTCCTTGGTGTACTTGGTTTGGCTGATAAAGATTCCTTTGGGAGACTGTTTGAGTTGCAATCCAAGAAAGAATGTTAGCTCTCCCATCATTCTCATTTTGAATTCTCTTTTCATAGCATGAGCGAATTCTTCAAATAGTACAGAGTTAGGACTTCCAAAAATAACATCGTCAACATAAATCTGAGTAATAAGATTACCTGAATTTGAGTGCTTATAAACAAAGTTGTGTTGATATTACCTCGTTTAATCCTTGGTTTAGAAGAAAAGCGCTTAATCTCTCATTCTTGGCTCGGGGAGCTTGCTTGAGTCCGTATAGAGCTTTAGACAGCTTGAACACATGATTTGGGAAGCTGTCACTTACAAATCTAGGAAGTTGACATATACCTCTTCAAAAATGTATCCGTTTAAAAAGGCACTTTTTACGTCCAATAGGGAAGAGTTTGAATCCTTTATGAGCAGCAAAAACAAGTAGTATTTGAATAGATTCCAGTCTTGCTACAGGTGCAAAAGTTTCATTGTAGTCAATTCTCTCTTGCCGAGAGTAACCTTGAGCAACTAGTCTTGCTTTGTTACGAATCACTTGACCGGATTCATTCAACTTATTTTTGAAGACCCATTTACTTCCTACGATGGAGGCGTTTGATGGTTCTGGAACCAATTTCCATATTATATTTCTTTCAAATTGATCAAGTTCATCTTTCATTGCTTTGATCCAATAGTCATCTTTAAGGACATCATCCACCTTCTTTGGCTCAAATTGTGATATTTAGGCCACATGAGAGTTGAACTTCTGAGATCTTCTTGTAGTGATACCCTCCTATGGATTTCCAATAATGAATTTGTGAGGATATCCTGGTTCACTTTTCCATTCATTAAGAATGTTTGTGATTTGCTCCTTTTCCCCAGTGGTCGACTGTTCTACAGAAGAAGACTCCTGAATTTCAATGTGCTCCTCAGGTGACTGGTTCTGCTAACTGGTCGACTCATCTTGACTGTCTTTTCCTACAACAACTGACTTTGGTACAACAAAAATTTTCTTATTTTCAAGAAGTTTTTTCATTCCTTAAGCGATGGTTAGTATCCACAAAAACAACATGAATTAATTCTTTAATGCATAAAGTTCTTTTATTGTAAACTCTATATGCTCTACTTGAGGGAGAATATCCAAGAAAAATACCTTCATCGCTCTTTGGATCAAACATACCCAGATTGTCCTTTCCATTATTGTGGATGAAGCATTTGCATCCAAATGGGTGGAAATAACTGATGTTTGATTTCTTACGGTTCCATAGCTCATATGGAGTCTTTTTGAGAATGGGTCGAATCAGACATCTGTTAATAATATGACATGTTGTGCTCGCAGCTTCTGCCTAGAAGTGGTGGGGTAGAGTGTTTTCCACAATCATGGTTCTTGCCATGTCCTACAACATTCTATTTTTACGTTCTACACTCCATTCTATTGAGGTGATCTTGGCGAAGAGAAGTTATGAGAAATTTCTTGATCATTGCAGAAGTTTTCAAATGTCCTGTTTTAAACTCTCCTCCGTGGTCACTTCTGATAGTGGAAATATAGTATCCTTTCTCACGTTGAAAATGATTCGTCTTCTCTTAATCAACCATGTTTCTTAAAATGAACCTCATAGTCATTGTCACATAGTTAACTGATACTGAGAAGATTGTAACCAAGTTCATCAACCAGGTATACTTCATCTACATCACATGTTGAGCTGAGAGGAACCTTTCCAACTCCAATTACGTTTCCTTTTGATTTATCTCCAAAGGTAACTATTTCTCCATCTAGTTTGGTGACTGTTTTGAATAACTGTTTGTCACCAATCATATGTATGGAACACGCGCTGTCAAGATACCATTTTCCTTTTCGATTCTTCTTGCGATGTTCCTGCCAAAAACAAAGATTACTTGTTTTGAGCTACCCAAGCCTGCTTGGGTCGTGAATGGTTAGATTTATGATTATTAGCTTGACTAGAAGATTTAGGTCACCAAACCCATCTCCTGTTGTCCTTGAACATGCAACGGTTAGAAGTGTGCCCAAGTTTTCTGCAATAGAAGTGGGAAGGATTATTAGGATTTTCAAAGACTCTTTCTTCTCTGATTCTATTCTTGCATTGGTTAGTGTTATGGCCATTTTTGCTATAGGAGCACACAGTAGAATTTCTAGTTCTAATCAAAGATGTGTGAAGACTCTGATTTGATTTGACAGAACTATGACTGGAGGATTTTCGCAATCCATTCAGTTGAAGTTGAAGTTTATTAACTTCATCTTGAAGCATATCACGCTCAATTTCACAGACTTCCAACTTCAAGGCAAAGTCTTTTTTTCCCTTTTGATTTTTCTGAGTTCATTTAGAACTCTCTCAATTTCTGCAAGAGCAATATCAATAAATTGTTGAAGTTCATAACAATTAGGACATGAGGAAGACGTACCTTACTAGTTCCTTCGTCTGCCATAAGACCAAGTTCACCTGAGTCTTCCTCCTCATCCTTTCCTTCGTCTACCATGAGCCCAAGTTCACCTGAGTCCTCATTGTTGTCTTTTTTTATGGCCACGAAACACATATTTGCAATATCTTTATGGTCAGATTTCTCTTCATCGCTCCAGGCTCCGAAAGACTTTTTCTTTTCAAAGTTCCTGCTGAGTTTCTTCTTCAGTTCGGGGCATTCAGCTTGAATGTGTCCATGTTTCCCACATTCATAGCACCTTCCATCATTTTTATCATTATCATTGTCACACCTTCTTTTTCGCCCGCGCCGCCGAAAAGGGGCGCAGAAGGGAGTTTTTCCCAATTAAAGGACAATCGAAACGGGATTTATTTATTTATTTCAGAGTCGCCACTTGGGAGATTTATGGTGTCCCAAGTCACCGGTTGAACCCCGAATCGAGGAAAAGAATGACTCTGTTTAACAGTCTGCGCACCAGAAATCCGAATAAGAAATTCTGTTAACCCGGGAGAAGGTGTTAGGCATTCCCGAGTTCCGTGGTTCTAGCACGGTCGCTCAACTGTCATTTTCGGCTTGATTATCTGATTTTATACAATTATGAACTTATGTGCAAACTTTAAACTCTTCATCGCTTTTATTATTATTATTATTTTAACAGAGAATACAACATTGTGAAAAACGTATCTCGAACCATGTCACATCAATGTACCCGTGGTTATCGACACATTTCGACTCTGTTGAGATTTGGATTTGGGTCACATAAATGTGCACCCGAGTT